GTTTAACATACAGTTTCTCAAAGCATTCCCTCTCCCCAAGTCTATGAGGCAGATTCCACAAACCAGTGCATTTGACTGGGAACCTTTGCAGGAAAAAAGAAATAAAAACAGTTCCTTTAAAGAGCAACCACAAAACACATTTTAGTAAGATTAACTTAATATTTATTTTAAATCTACTACTTTAAGCACAAATGTGAAAATAGTCAAAATTCAAGCACAGAGTATATATGTGTGCGGGCCCAATCCAGCAATTATTGCCCACTTATAACTCCCTTTGACATTGATGAGTGTTTGACCTATAGAACCTTTAAAGAACCTGTGCGGGATCTCTCTTTCTCTCTCATTGGGATGACCCAATGAACTGAATTAGACTGAATGAAAGGCATTACAGAAAATACTTCAGGGAAGACTTTGGGCAAGATCCTTAGTTGCTGTGGAGATATGCTGATTTATAGTAGTTTAGGCACTAATCCTTTGTATTGTGGAGGTTTAATGTTACAAATGGGCAATACAAACTTTACTGGGCATATTTGAAGATTTTTTTCAGCGATATAAACTGTCAAAGTCAGCTATGCCTATATGACTCAAGATGATTGAGGTTTATTAAAAAAAATCACCCCACAGCCGACTATATGTTTGTGTCCTATTCTGCAGGTACTTAATACCAAACTTTAACTCAGCAGTCTCAACTGAAATCACGAAGACTACTGACCAAAGTAGTCATTACATTTGATAATGATGGATTTATTTTTAAGAAGTCTCAATCACTAACGGCTAGCTGGAATTGCGAAAGATTATATGTGTGTCTTGTTATTGAAGTATCTTGTTCATTCTCTTCTTATTCTCATCTTGTTAATTCTCTTATGTTTAATTTAATTTAATACATTCAAGTTCATGGCCAGGGTAAAGTAGGTTACTGAAGGCTAAAACACCTACAAAATTACAAAGTTTTCAAAATCTCTTTTATGTGCTGCAGTATTCTTCTGTAAAACTTGAGTTAAACTACCTATTTTTGTTAATGTTTCCCATTCCCTTTATTTTTATCCCTTTGCTGTTTAAAGCTTATATAAAATGTGTCATTCCTCCAGGTGGCGTGTCCGTCAATGTATTAGTTTGCAAGCCATTATACACACATAATACTATTTGTTTACCTAAACCCAATAATATATGTATACCCTTATAATTCATGTCTATGATTTTCATAACTTTCTTAAACACCCACATTTAATACTAATTTTGAGGTACTCAGATACCATTGTGCTGAGGGCTACATTAGCAGAATGATACAATAATAATGCTGATTATGTTGGGTCTTTTATGCATGCAATCATGCATAATAATTGCTCATTTATTTCTTTAGTACAAGATTGTACTTTAAAATACTCTCCCCAATTTGTATGCTCTGTATTTTCAAGACCCTAAGGACTACCGAGTCTTTTCCATAGCTCCCTCATAATTATGGGACCAGAGTATATTACCCTTCAGACCCATGACAGAGTTAGACTCTGTCATACTTGTTGTAACACAAGAAGCTCTGAATCACATCCTGTACAGTGGACCTCCTGGCTGGTTCAAGCAACTTAAGAACAGCTATGTCCATTACTCAAGCAGATCATCAGTGCTTCTTTTTGCAAAACATACTTGCAAACTCAGTAAGAAAAGCAATAGTTTATTTTATCCTCAGAAGGTCACCACTGGACTTAGAGCATCTCTCCAGCCACTGTCCTGTCTCCAACCACTTGTTCCTGGAAAAGAATAACAAAAAAGTAGTTTCTGTCAAGTTCCATAAGAGCCAATGTAGGAGATAGTTTGCAGCTAGGGATCAGACCTGAGCGCTACACAGACATAGGCCCAGAATTCAAGCATGATCTCCATGCTCATATCACTGGATTCATCCAAAAATTTCAACACGGGGTTCTGCTAAACTGCATCCATGATAAGGCAGTTTGATACCCATTAGGCCGCTGGTATGCTGAGACCATTGCCTGTCATTCCAACTACTAACATCTCATGGCATCTTTGTGCTCTCTTTGTATCCAGCTTTGCTGACTTTTGTATCCAAGCATGATCTCCATGCTCATATCACTGGATTCATCCAAAAATTTCAACACGGGGTTCTGCTAAACTGCATCCATGATAAGGCAGTTTGATACCCATTAGGCCGCTGGTATGCTGAGACCATTGCCTGTCATTCCAACTACTAACATCTCATGGCATCTTTGTGCTCTCTTTGTATCCAGCTTTGCTGACTTTTGTATCCAGCTGCTGACATTTGTCTTTTACTTAAGTGGTAAGCTCTTTGGGACAGGGATTGTCTTTTTGCCATGTATTTGCATTCTGCCTAGCACAATGGAGTCCTGCTGAGATGCTACCACAACACAGATACATATTATCTACAGTAAACTTCCGATAATCCGGCACCTTTAGGACCATGGGGGTGCCGGATTATCAGATATGCCGGACTATCATAAGGGGGGGCTATGAGGGGTCTGGAGTGGGGTGGGAGGGGATGCCACCCCAGACCCATCGTAGCCCCCCCTTATGATAGTCAGGCTCTGCCCCAGGAGTCCCTGATTCAGCCGCTGCTGGTCAGTTTGAGCAGCAGCTGAATCGGGGATGCCTGCAATAGAGCAGCTGGGGTGCTGCCAGGTTGGTCCCATAGTGCTGCCCCTCGGGGCTGCGGGACCAACCCGGCAGCACCCCAGCTGTCCCCATTCAGATGCTGCTGAAACCGACCAGTGGCTGGCTCCCCCAAG